ATCCGGAAATATTGAAGATCCCTTTTGAGTGTCTGACACTTTTTGATGGATTGATTTGGTTGCACAGCTTGCAGTGTTTCTTATTGCAGGGTTTGCTTCCATTATTTGTGACATCATAATCAGAAGGAAGTTTCCTACTCATTAGTTTATTTCTGAGGTTGGGGGGTTGTCTGAAAGCCAGTATTGGGGGTTGCTGGAATATTTCTTTCAGAGTTCCATCCTCTGTTATGATGGGTTGTAAGTCTTTGATTATTTTTCTTATTCCTTCTAGTGCTGGGTTGTATGTGGTTACTAGAGGTACACGGTTGTTTGTTTTTTTCTCTTTGTACTGAAGTAGATTTTCCCTTCGGGTTCTCAAGGCTGTGTTTTATGCTGGTGTTTGATAGTTTTGTCCTTGTAACCTTTCTTATGGAAGGCTTCTGCTAGTGTCCGAGATGTTTATCTCTGTCTCTTGGGTCAGAACATACTTGGTGGTATCTAATGGCCTGACTGTGTATGTTGGCACGTTTTGTGTGTTGGGGGTGTAAGCTGGAACTGTGGAGGCATCTGTCAGTGGGTTTCCTGTATATTGAGGTGTGAAGCGTATCATCCCTGATGTATACTGTGGTGTCTAGGAAGTTGACGTGTGTGTTTGAGTATTCCATTTTTAGTTTGATTGATGGATGAAAAGTGTTCATCAATGAGTAAAATTGTTTTAGGTTTTCTTCACCTTCTGTCCATATGATGAAAATATCAATAAGGCATCACAGCCAATGTGCAGCAGACAGTGCAAGTCCTTCAGGACTTGGGCTGGGCCCTCAATTTCAAAAAGTCAACGCTGTAGCTAGTGCACCTACTGGAATATCTAGGCCTTGTCCTGGCACAAGTTTTTTCCTTCCCCAGAAAAAGTTTTGGTCCTAGGTGCAGGGGTGTTTGGGTTCTCTGAAATGGGGTTGATGGGTTAGCTTCCTTCTTCGCAGTCTCGCATGTACAGTTTCATTGCAGCTCAACATACTGACATAGTGGGACAAAAGGACTTTGTCCTTGGATCATCCCTTGTTTCTGAACACCAAAACCAAGTCATCCTTTGAATGGTGGATAGCCAGTCTGGCACTGGAATTGGGGAAATCTTTTCCTCCTGTGGAGTGGAAAGTACTGACAATGATCCCAGCCCTATCGGTCGGGAAGGAGTCCTGGACTCCTGTCAGTCTAGAGAACGTGGTCATCAGAAGAAGCTTGGCTGCCTTGAAACATTCTGGAACTCAGGGCAATTTGGCTTGCCCTTCAGCACTGGACCACTACTGCACTGGGGGCTATTATTCACATCCTGACATTCAAAGGGTAGTGGTATATGTAAATTTCCAAGGCAGCACCAAAAATCAGTCTACTCTCATTCTGACTTGGGTGGAACTCTAGTGTTCCAGTTCTGTCCATGGTACACAATTCTGGTGTGAAGAATGGGAAGGGGAATTTCCAGCTGCCAACAGCTGGATCTTGGTGAGCAGTCCCTCTACGCGGAGGTGTTTCACCAATTTCTGTCTTTCATTGGTGGGGGGGGGGAAACAACACCAGACATAAATCTCATGGCTATCAGACACAACCACAAACTAGACAGGTGTTTGAAGTAATGTCCTAGTTGCTCTGTGGAATTAGTTTAACCTGAGTGAAGCAGACAAGGTAGGAGCTTGGGGGGGATGCATAAGTGGACAGAGATTCTCATTGCACTACTTGCCTTTGTTCCAGGGGTGGCTCACATCGTTTGACCAGTATGTTCCCTATTAACTCCGTGGGACCTCAGTCTGGTGTTGGCAGTCTTTCAGAGGACACTGTTTGAACCCATTTGGGATACTTATCTCCCTCTTCTATCATATAAGGTTGCTCCTCTTGTGGTTTTCACTTTGGTTAGGAGGGTATCTGAGCTTGCAGCTTTGTCCTATACAGAGCCTTATCTTGTGCTTGGCAAGGACAAGATTGTGTTGAGACCACTTAATTCTTTCCTGTCTGTCTGGGCTATGTGAGTTTTTGGTTTTTTTTCTTTTTTTTTTTTTGGTTTTAACCTCATACCTCGGATTCCCAGATCTGTAAGATTGCCAAATTATCTTCTGCTCATACCTTATACTAGGTTTTATTCGGTGGATGTTCAGGCTGGTGTTCAAAATTTTCTTTATCTTCTGAAAAACTAACCTTTTAACTCTTGTGTCATGTGATGTACTGCAAGAAAAGGAATTTTACAGAAGTCCAAAATCTTCTTTTTTTTTTTTTTTTTTTTAATCTGCAAGCAGTTGTAGTGGTATATGCACTGTGCGACCAGTTGTCACTAGTCTGCAGGAGCCATATAAAGTGATTGTAAAAAAAAATATATACAGTTGTGTTCAAAATAATAGCAGTGTGTTGACAAAAGTGAATAAAGCTCAAAATCCTTCTAATAGCTTTTATTTCCATACGCACAAATGCATTGGGAACACAACACATTCTATTCCAAATCCAAACATGAAGAAAAATATATCAAATTTGTGTTGTTCCTCTAAAAACAATTGAAGAAAAGTGAATATTAGACTGTTCATCAAAAAAATAGCAGTGTTTGTATTCTTTACAAACTCAAACATTCACTATATAAACTGAGAAATGTTTGAAGATTTTGCTTTCCTTTGAATCACTTAATAATATTTAGTTGTATAAGCACTGTTTCTGAGAACTGCTGTACATCTGTGTTGCATGGAGTCAACCAACTTCTGGCACCTGTGAACAGGTATTCCAGCCCAGGATGATTGGACTACATTCCACAGTTCTTCTCTATTTCTTGGTTTTGCCTCAGAAAATGCATTTTTGATGTCACCCCACAAGTTTTCTATTGGATTAAGTTCCGTTGATTGGGCTGGCCACTCCATAACGTCAATCTTGTTGGTCTGGAACCAAGATGTTGCACGTTTACTGGTGTGTTTGGGGTCGTTGTCTTGTTGGAACACCCATTTCAAGGGCATTTCCTCTTCAGCATAAGGCAGCATGACCTCTTCAAGTATTCTGATGTATTCAAACTGATCCGTGATCCCTGGTATGCGATAAATAGGCCCAACACCGTAGTATGAGAAACATCCCCATATCATGATGCTTGCGCAACCATGCTTCACTGTCTTCACAGTGTACTGTGGCTTGAATTCAGTGTTTGGGGGTGTTTTTTTGGCTGAGTCCTTGCCATTTTGGATATTCTTCTATCCATTCGAATGGTAGTTTTTCGCTTTCTTCCACGTCTTTCAGGTGTTGGTTGCCATTTTAAAGCATTTGCGATCATTTTAGCTGAGCATCCTATCATTTTCTGCACTTATTTATATGTTTTCCCCCTCTCCAATCAACTTTTTAAACAAGGTACGCTGTTCTTCTGAACAATGTCTGGAACGACCCATTTTCCTCAGAATTTCAGAGAGAAATGCACTGTAACCAGCATGTACAACATTTGCTGCCTTCCTTCCTTAAATAAGGGCAATAATTGCCACCTGTTTTTCAAAGAATGAATGACCTCACTAATAGAACTCCAAACTGCTATTATTTTGAACATGCCCCTTTCAATGAGTGATTCAATTACACAGAATCAGCAGCATGCATGTCATGACTGTTGGGTCTGCTGGATTTCTATTACTCTACTACACATGCTAGTAAATTATTTGCCATGTAGAAATATCATTTCTACCAAAAACAGTGATTGATCAGGTTAGTGACGTCTGACTGCTATTATTTTGAACACAACTGTATATATTCAATATGGTATACTTATTTGATCTGTGCAATAATTTTGCACAGAGCAGCCCCAGTCCTTCTCTTCTCAGGTCGCCCACTGGCACCGTGCTATGGGGTACCCGTGCAACCTGATCCTGAGCCACGTTCTGTGTCTATTGATATAGAGTGTGGCTCAGCCCTGCCCCCTCTCTCTGCTCACAGGCTGTGATTGACAGCAGCAGGAGCCCACTGCTGCCTTTATGGCCAGTAAGGGGGGGGACAGTGCACAGAGAGCCTCTACTGTTGGGCACAGCACTGGTTCAAGATCGGTTTCGGGGGGGGGAAGCTAACCCAGAAGGGTCTTTATCCTACTGCATAGATCACATTAAGGTAAAAATCTTTTGCCTTTTAGAGCCACTTTAACCTGTATGCATAAATGCATAAAAGTATGACATCTGAAGCCTAATTATATTTAATCTTTACTATAATTGTCAATAAAAATGGTTGCTTCCTGTCTCCTTAACCACTTGCCCTCCAGAGGATTTACCCCTTCCTTCCTGACCAGGCCATTTTTTGCGTTACGGTGCTTCATTACTTTGACTGACTGACAATTGCACGGTCATGCAACGCTGCACCCAAATGAAATTTGCATCTTTTTTTTTTTTTTTTTTTTTCCCCCAACAAATAGAGCTTTCTTTCGGTGGTATTTGATCGCCTCTGCGTTTTTTTTTTATTTTTTGTGCGCTAAACAAAAAAAAACGACAATTTTGAGGGGAAAAAAATATTTTTGACTTTTTGCGATTAAACATGTCCAATAAAAATGTTTTACTTTTTTTTAACTAGTAATGGCGGTGATCAGTGACTTATAGCGGGACTGCGGCGGGCATTCTGACCCTGTTGGGAACTGACTTGGTGTCACTGACATCCCCAATGACACCAATACAGTGATCAGTGCTAATAAAAAGCACTGACACTGTACTAATGGCACTGTTCGGAAAGGGGTTAACATCTGGGGTGATCAGCTGTTCATGTTTTAATATGAGGCTGTCTGTGCTTTCCACTGTAAGCACACTGCTATGCAGAGCCATACATTGTGCTGGAACCGACAGGGGAGATAACTGCATTGTTTACAGACACTCAGGATACCAGGTGCAGGGGGTAAGTCTGCATGTGGGCTTTGAGTAATTGTCCCCCCTGCACTGTAGTTTTAACTCAAGTGTCCTAGTGTTGAGGGTCCAGTGTCGGGGCATAAACTACCATAGAATATTAGTGTTACTGCATCAGTAATACATGTTTGTTTTAACATTTAGAGTGAAGCTGATGAATCTGTGGACATTGAAACAGTGGAAGAACTTTATGAGAAGATTAACATTGCTCGTCTTAAAGCAACGGCTACTCCTATGACATCACACAATGACAAGTAAGGACTTAAGTTGTAAATACTGTAGATATTAAATTTAGCTGTGAATATTGAAAAGAGGACAGGAGATACTGCGTTTTTTATTTTTAAAAGATAGTTTACACCATGTGCGGTGACCTGCATTTACATCTGTACAGATCGCAAACTCACTGCTAGGGCACATAGAAAACATGCTGATGTATTAAAATAAAAGAAAATTATGAATTTCTGTAAAGTGTAAATTTGCCTTTTCCATAAAATAACCTATGCAGTCAGAAGGTCTCAGTAGATGTTAAAAAAAACAAAACAAAAAAATCTATGCAGCTTTGTAAAATACTCACCGGCCACTTTTTAGGTACACCTATTCAATTGCTTGGTAACACAAATTGCTAATCAGCCAATCACAGGGCAGACACTCAATGCATTTAGGCATGTAGACTGGTGAAGACGACTTGCTAAAGTTCAAACCGAGTATCAAAATGGAGAAGAGGGGATTTAAGTGACTTTGAACGTGGCAGGGTTGTTGGTGCCAGATTGGCTGGTCTTGATATTTCAAAAACTGCTGATCTACTGAGATTTTCATACAGAACCATCTAGGATTTACAGAGAATGATCCAAAAAAGATAAAATATCCACTGGTATAAAATATCCAGTGGTAGTTGTGTGGATAAGAATGCCTTGTTGATGTCAGAGGGGAATGAGCATTCGATTTCAGCTTCTACAGTCAGATGGTAGAGTCAGAATTTGGCGTAAACATGAAAGCATGGATCCATCCTGCCTTGTGTAAACCGTTCAGGCTGGTGGTGGTATAATGGTGTGGGGGATATTTTATTGACACTAGCAAGGTGTACCTAATAAAGTGGCCATCGAATGTGTTTATTTTATTGTCAGACCTGTAGGCCACTTGCATGCCAAGGATCCTGACCGAAAAACTCCCAGTTAGTAATCCCCAAATCTTACCTTCTTGGACATGAAAACTGTTAGATACTCACTCCCATAATGGCATGTGCAAATACAAATGTTTATGTCCGAACAGGGCAGGACATGAGGATTGCTAACTGGGAGTTCTTTTGAGCAATGGAAGCCCCAAAGGCCTACAGCTATGAGCATTTTACTAAGCTGCACAGTTTTTAATATCTACTAGACCCCTTGATTGAATAGGCAATGCAGGTCTACTTCTAGTCTGGACCAATTCTGATATTACTCTCCTACATGTAAAAAACATTTTTTTGCTAGAAAACTACTTAGAACCCACGAACATTATATATATATATATATATATATATTTTTTTTTTTTTTTAAGCAGAATCCCTAGAGAATAAAACGGTGGGTGTTGCATATTTTTATGTCACACAATATTTGCGCAGCTTTGTTTTTAAACGCAAATGTTGGGAAAAAAAATACATTTTAATGCACAAACACAATATAATACCTAATTTTTGGTAAAACATAACAGATGTTACGCTGAGTAAGTCGGTACCAAACATGTCGCACTTAAAAACTGTGTATGCCTGTGGAAAGGTGCAAAACTACAGTACCGCAAAGTCTCCATAGGTGACACTTTAAAAGCCTTTACAGGATACCAGTTTAGAATTACTCAGGAGATCTGGCACTAAAATATTTATTTTTTTAAAACAATTGAAGTTTATTCGTAGAAAGGCAGAACAGAGTGGAATTAAATTAGCAACAAGCAAGATACACAGAACATGAAGACATTCAATTCACGTATACATGTTGTTTTTGAATCAATATTAGTCGGTTGTGTAATCATGCACAATGTTATACAGGGAGACTTCATATATCAGGAAGTTAGTTGCAAGCAAAAACATCAAACTGAATTGGGTGAAAAGAATCAAAAGAGGATGGAAATGATGTACAATGAAAAAAGAAAACCTCAAGAATAAGAGTAAATCAAACTCCGTGGAAAATGCCAAATATCAATCATTCATGCTATTTAATAATATCAAGCCGTTCATGCTATATAATAATCTAGGTAGTATATTCATTTTAATGATAGATGCCCTACCAAACCAAGGGAAGGTTTTTTTATGCCAAGATTTGAGATCCCTCTGAATATTATGTAGTAAGGGGGCAAAGTTTTGTGTGTACAGGTCTTCCACATTTGGAGTTAGCCAAATACCTAAACATTTAAGGGCAGTGGGGACCCACCGAAAAGAGCAATTTCGCTTAATGAGGGCTAAGGAAGAAGAGTGAACGGATAAATTCAAAGCCTCCGATTTGGTGTAGTTTATTTTCAAATTAGAAAGAAAGATATAGTGGTTGAATAAGCTCAGGAGATTAGGTACAGAAATATGAGGCTGAGAAAAATAGCTGAAGTTTTGAAAATATCGTTGATTTGGAAGCCATGTATAGCCTCATTTTGCTGAACTAGCCTTATGAAGGGTTCAAGTGTGAGAATAAACTGAAGAGGAGACGGGGCAGCCCTGTCTCGTTCTGTTTTTAATAGTTACTGTTACAGACAAAGTGCCATTAACTTTAATCCTAGCCTTGGGGTTTTGATACAGTGCAGTGATCCAGCTCATCATGTTAAGTTCCAGACCAATATGTGCATAAGTAGCAAACATGAAGTCCCATGATACGCGATTTGAAGGCCGCGTGCGCATCATCAGTGAGGAGAAGGCCTTCAATATCTTCAGATGTGCTCTATGGATTAGGTTAATGGCCTTGACAATGTTATCACGTGCCTCCCCGCCTGGCATAAAGCCGACTTGTTCTGGTCCTATGATAGCAGGCAGTAAAGGCTTAAGCCGGTTGGATAATATTTTTGCAAGCAATTTTTATGTTGGCGTTAAGGAGGGAGATTGGTCTGTAACTTGTACATTCAACAGGGTCTTTGTCCTTTTTGGGAATGACAGAAATATGTGCAAGGGAAAAAGGAGATATAGGCTGTGGTGTACTCAGAGCGTTAAATGTCTGAAGTGGAGGCAGTGTAAGCAAGGTGTTAAAGATGTTATAATATTGTGACGTAAGGCAGTCTGGACCTGGGCTTTTTCCCGGTTTTAGGTTTTTAATAGTGTTAGCCAATTCTATTTCTTCAATAAAGCATTCTAGTAGTTTGGTGTCCAAACATTTTAGGGAATGTAGTTTACTTTTCATAAGAAAATCATTGATTAAATCAATTTTCTCTCCCTTTTAAGGTCTTTAGGAGTGTGGATGGGAGGAAGATTGTACAGGGTAGTGTAATACTGATGGAATAAGGAAGCAATTGCTTTGCTATCATGTTCTAAAGTGCCTTTCGTGTTTCTGACTCCATTAATATTTTCACTCAGTTTAGCCTCCCGTAGAGCTTTGACCAGGAAATGCCCGCTTTTATTTGCACCCTCATTATAAATTTTGTTTTTTAAAGAATAAGGAACATTTATAGTTTGTGTCAAGGATGGCTTGAAGTTCCAGCCAAGCTTTCTGCAGGCTATATGCCAAAGACGCGGTGAGGGACAGTTTATGCTGGGATCCTAGTTACGCTATCACTGTAGAAATTTCCGCAATTTTCCTAGTTTGTTCCCTTTTCCATCTAGAGCCCCACTTTATAAACTCTCCACGAACAACACATTTGTGTGCCTCCCATACGTTAAGGGGAGAGGTGTCCGTAACCTTATTGATATCAAAATATTGCTTAATAACATCGGTAACGACGTTCAGGGTTTCTACGTCAGTCAATAAAGTCAGATTAAGTCTCCAGTTATACCTCTTATCTGCCTGGTATGCGAGCGTCATATTAAGTGAAATTGGGGCATGGTCTGAAAAGGATTGTATCCCAATCTGTGTCCATAATGAAGGGGAGATCCCTTTGTGAAATGGAAAAAAAAAAAAAAAAATCAATCCTTGCGTACCGCTTGTGTGTGGTGGGGAACCGCAAGTGTAATCTCAACTTGTAGGGTTAAGTGATCTCCACGCGCCAATAATAAAGACCTTTAAAAGAAGTTTAACCTTTTTAAGACTTCTACATGCAGTACAGGTTGTTCCTGTGGACGTGTCACAAGTAGGGTTGAGTGGAATGTTAAAATCTCCACCCAGAATCAAACAGCCAGCACAAATCCTTTAAGCTCAGCAACCGTTTGCTGGCAAAAGGAGATGTGTCTTAGCCAGGTCGTTAGTGGAGTGATATGCTTCCGTAAAGTATTTACTCGATAATTGAGGGATCTGTCCAGTTTTAAAATGAGTTCCTTGCAAAAACACTGTGGAAGGCTTGGCTTCATCAAGCTCGCTTAACAGTTGAGAACGATTCTCAGGTACATTTAATCCTCTGACGTTATGAGAAATGATCAAAGGCTTTTTTTCTAAAGGTGAGTAAGTCATGATGATATCTTAAAAATACTGCAGAGGATGCGTGAGTTAGATTTGTACAAAACAAATATAAACAAGTAGAATCTTATCTATCACTAACCTTTATGATACTGCGGAAAAGGAGAGAGAGAATATTAATGGCAAGGGGGGTGTATACCGTATCGTAAGGTCAAATGAGCGTCAGCAGAATAGGTGGGTATAAAAAGAGCTTAGATCATAAACCCAAAATAATACTCTGCCAAATTGTGGGGTTAGTGGGAGGAGCTTTTGAATATGCAAAGGCTTCTCTCAAAAATGAATGAGAGCACCTATGGTAAAAATTACCCTAGGAACAGCTAATATAATAATAGACAGATGTCAAATAAGTGTGGGAGGCTTGTATTCAGAGCCAGAAACACATAAAATAATTGCAGATCTTGGGTAACTGGGGGGAGGTTTCATATAGATTAGTCTTGTCCTATAATTCTCGTGAAGTTATTATATAGATTACTCAGGTGTACCACTTTCAAACGAGGAACCAGTGGTCATATAGCTTTAGGCCATGCAGTTCCTGTAAACCAGTAGTAGAACACAAACCAACAATAATGCCACGCTCTAATAGAGCACTTCTCATAGCTAATGAGTAGTACACCCTTAAAACCGTCTAAGCAGACCGCATCCGACATAACATCAAGCAACCAGGACTAAAACAAATCAGGGGAAGAGAGTCCACGGTG